CTTCAAGGTTAGAAGGAACTACACAAACCATTGATGCAGCCCTACGACCTGAACCCTTGGTGACACTGTTGTGTGAACGTGTTGAGCTGGTGGCGCCCTCCTATCCACTCTGGCACCACATTTCTTCCCTTTCTACTGTGTAGGAAGAAGTTCTGGTCTTACAGAATTTGGAGATACTAAGGTTTGGATCCCATTAAGGTGAATATTGCCTAAAGCGAGTTTCCCAGTGTATCTAAAAGTGATGCCCACAGCATACCATAGTCAATATTAAGTGTGCAACAGCATTATGTCCACAAAAAATCCATGTGCATACCCTGGTTAAATAATACTTTCTTGCTAAAAAACACTGCCCAGCATCTGAGCCTCCAGCAAGTTGGAAACTTTTGCTGGAGGAGGGTCTTTGCAATATCTGCAAAGTGCAATGAAGTAATAGGCAGTAAGACAAGGGATGCCTGTATTTGTTGTCCAAGGTTTCCTGTGTCCAAATACCTGGGTCCTGTGACTTGAGAGCTTACACACTGTGGAGAAATGTGGTTCTTGTAATAAATTTGAAATCAAATCCCATTCAAACTTCCCCCTGCCATGCCACACAGGCCCTCTCTCCAGCGCCAGCCGGCACGTGGCTCAGGAAATACCAGACGCACCAGCAAAAACAAGGCATGTTCAGAGGCATAACTGCTGTCCAGAAACCGTGCAATTAATTTCAAAGTATAAAACTAATTGGATTATCTGTGCCATGAGTTTCTTCATTAGTGCAGATAATTGGGAGGTTTTAGTAGTGTCTTTCCTTCCTTCTTGAAGAAAAGGCACCTCACGTAAGGGGTTGGGGCACTGAGCCTGGACCGTGGAAACAACTCCCAGAAAGCCTGACTTCTCACGGCCCCATGTGAACGTGACATCTGCCACACGGGGCCGAAGCCGCACGGGCTATCCAGGAGTCAGTGGTCAGAGTTGAGCTGGCCAAGGAGGATCTGGCATGGGCGTGATGGAATCAAGCCAGTCAGGAAGGACCGTGAGGGAAGGGCTGAGCGTCAGCAGGAAGGCGAGGAGAGAAAGTGACACCGCAGATGCGGACACTGTTCTGTCCCCCAGGCTGCCCTGGGGCAGACCACCTGAAGAAACTCACCTGCAGAGCTTCTGCAAATTCCAGGGTCGCTGCCTCAGACCTGTTTCACGGGCATCTTTGGGCACCAGAGCCAGGACTGTGGATTTTAACAAGCTCCCTGGTGAGCCTCAGACTGCTCCGGGTGCACTGGGCACACGCCGGCCGGGGCCCAGCTGCCTAACCGTGCATCCACACTTGACTATGGCAGGCCCGGGGCTAGGGCAGAGGGGGCTTCACAACCCGCACTGGCATCACGATTCACCAGCATCAACTCTGAACGGCTGTTCAAAATCCCGCGCCAGCAGCCACATGCTCCTAAGGCAGAAAGGCTGAACATAAGGGAAAATTGACTCCCTCAGCCCTGGGAAGGGTGGGGCATGGTCTTTCCCGGCTGATGTGCTGAATTAGAAGCACAGAAAACAACTGCAGTTCCCCTGGGCCAGCTCGAGACGGATTTGCAGATTTAATGAATGGCCATGTGCCTGGGTGAGTGGGAACGGCCGAGCAGCCTGACTCAGCCTGATGCAGTGGAAAAGCCTCTTCTGCCCGCCAGGGATGCCACTGAAGGACCCTGGTCCACGTCGACCTCCCAGTGTCCCAGAGAAGCAGGTGACATGGCCGGGGACGAGGGCCCTGCCCGCGCTGCCTCTGAGCACGCTTTCTCAACAGCCTATGAAACGTTTATTGATCTGTGCGTGTAGCCGGTGTCAACACCGCCTGTCTGAAGGGAGGCCACATCACAGGGTCACGATGAAGAGGGAAAAAACCTTAATAATTCACTATACTTGTCAACAAAGGGCGGGCATTGTCCGCTCCTGCTCTACAGGGTCTTTCTGGGGCTGCCGAGGGGCTGCCTGCCCTTGTCCCCGGCCTCGCTGCGGGGTTCGGTCGCACATTCGCTTGCATCCCGCCCTCCCTCCCCTGGCTCGGCTTTTCAGATTCATGTCACAGCGAGCACCTGCTTTATATGCTCTGTCCCTGCCGCAGCCTCATGGCGCCAAAGGCTGATTTACCTCCTCAAGAGAAAGCCACTATTTTGCCAGCCCTGGGCACTTTCTGCCTGGATGGGGCACCAGCTCTCTCCTGAAATAATGTTTATCAAGACTAAATTGACAGACTAGGCCTCTGCCCGGCAAGTGTACTGTCAGACTTAATGAATTCATCAGTCTGGAAGGTTCTAGAGGTTCGTAGAGGGAATGAGGTCTGGGGACCACATGGCATTGAGGTTGGGGCCTACGCTGTGGCCCACATAGTACCTGGACATGAATCACCTCGAGGGCCACACCTCCCAAGCAGGGCAGCCACCTGGAGGGAAAGCGGAGTCTTTTTAATAACAGAGTCAGCTCCAGCCTGTGGCTGCTCGCGCTCAAGATGACAAATAGGGCAAGTCCATCTTCACGAACTGCTCTTTTTTTGGCATAGTCTTTCCTCCCTTGATTCATCCCTCCTCTTCTGTCTCTCCTCGGCCACCCTTCCCTCTCTATCCCCCCCGCCCCAACTTGCTCCTCCCTCCTCTTTACTAGCAATTTTCTAGCAAATAGCCCCCACTCACGCCCTGCTGTCAGAAAAACAGGATAAGCTGATTCATATTGCGGAATTTGTGACTAAGAGGGTTAACATCCTTCCACAGCAAGCACATTTTAAGAAGAAGAAAGTCTTAAAGCAAAGGTGGAAAAAAAATCCTAATGGTGGAAATTCAACTCAAGTTGAGCGAGCAAGCTCGTCCTCATCTGCATCACGCCCGGCTACCATCCCTGTGCCTCTTCTTGAAGGGTAACAGAACCCCTTCCTGGGATCACACGTGACAGGTATCAATTTCCTTCCACGTATTCAGGTGTGTCAGAAATATAATTCTTTGTTTGCCTTTTTTAAGTCTCATTCTTCTGGGGTTGCAGAAATTCATTTTCAATGAGTTTGGCTTCTCCTGTCCCCCTTCCCCGGGGTGGCAGTTACATTTCCGTGGTTTGCATGGTGCCAGGTATGGGGAGGGGACAGCTGGCCCTTAGGAGCACTCGCCATCTGGACTGGCCTCCCCCGAGGTGTCCACCTGGCCATCTGTTCTGCAGTTATTGGTTCCCAGGGTGGCGCTGAGTCATCCTGAGTGTGGGGCCATTCCTTTGCCTATCACTGGGATGCCCCCAAACCCCTCCACACTGGGGCAGGAGAACGGTCCTGGCTCACAGGGTCAGTGATGCTTCCTGGGCTCTAGCTGGGAACCTGGATGCCGTCCCTTCCTTCTCAGGGCAGAATCAACCCAGGCAGGGAAGGGGAGCCTCTGTCTTGCTCCCCAGTACTGGGTCAGGCTGAATGCCTGGATAGGGGCCTGGGATTCTCTCTCAGGGACGCACAGGGGTGTTTTCAGGGCTTTCTTCTGTTGCTCTCTTCCCCATGGCTAATTGCTCATCATTTCTCTAATTTCTGCTGCGTTAGCCTTTTGTTGAATCCAAAAACACAAATGACCGAGTAGAGAGATGATCCAAAGGATGCGAACACGGTGGACAAAGATTGATTTTATTTTAAAATGTCCAGCAAACTGTAAACTAGCCACTGTGAGGGACATAAAGTACCATAAAGCACAGGCCTTGTCTGCAAGAAACTTTCACATAAACACTGAGCTAAATACAAACTCAGGAGTCCCGTGAATTTATAAGGAAAGACGTGTTCACAATTGCCAACCCTGCCCCCCCCCACACACACAAACTTTTCCTTTTCTAATTTTCCTTTTCAAGGAATGAGGACTCTTCAGCTGCCAGTGGGAATTTCTTAAAGTTGGAAGCTAAATAGAATACTGGTCAGGCTCTTTCTCAACAAATACTACTAGAGCTCAAATCTGTGATTAAATGAGTCACCTTAAAGCTTTACTATGGAATTTCCTCACTTTGAGCAGTACTGGATAAAAATGAATTGTAAGACCAAAGGATTTGAATACCCCTTCTCTTGGAATTGTAATGTCATTTGCCTTTCTTTAGATCTAAAAGCTCTAGGTGAGCCTTTATTTCTCATACAAATTTAGAGCAGAAGGTACACAATTTGGGGCCTGATGTGGAAAGAGAGTGGTATTAGTCAGGGTAAGAAAGGCTAACCGCTGCGACAACCATCTCGATACCATGAAAACTGTTTCTCATTCACTTCATAGCCCATTGTTCCCACAGTCATCTGGGGACCTAGTCTCTGCCTTTAATGCATGGCTCCCAATTTTATGGTGGGTGTTGACAAAGAACCCACTAATTGAGGCTAAGAGAACAAGCAGGATCTGGCGAGAGATCTTAGGGGCCTGCCTTAGAGGGAATGCACACACTCTCATCTTTCACCTGCCAGAGCTTGTCACCTGACTGCATCTTATTAAAGAGGGCTGGGTGGTGTCATCCAGACGTGGGCTTGGGACAAAAAGGTATCAGGTTTGGTGAGCATATTCCAGCTTCGCTGCTATATTTGTGAGCATCAGGCTCCCAATGACAAAAGATTTGTTAGCAAAGACCCAAAAAATTGTTTCCTCCCTAAAAAGCAGGAGTGCCAGAGAGGCAAGAGATTTCTGTCTCACCTCTCTTCCTTCCTCATTTAAGCCCACCCTCCCCTGAATAGAGAGGCCAAGCTAGAGCCAGTGTCCGCACATTCATGGATATCCTGCAGGTTTCCTTAGACAGCAGAGGAACAGCAGTCAGAACCTGGCCTCTCCTCCAGTGCCCAGCCCCACTCAGAAAGCCCAGTCCTTAGACAATGAGCACTATGACACTGTGACTGTCGGCCTCACCACCGCACCTTGGCACAGGCTCAGGATGTTACTGGAGAAAAGGTAGGTAGCCAGGCTGGGCATTGGGGTAGGGAAAGAACTAGAAACTACTAAGCATGTGGATGGAGAACAGTGTGTGCAGGGATGCTCCAATGCCAGGTATTTCATTCTCTCCTGTGCTGTTCAAGCTGAGCCCAGGCCCTGTAAAGCACTTACTCTGATTGAAAGGGAATGGTTCTGAAGCAGAAAATGTCAACAGCACTGGTGGGAATTGTGCTTTTGTTCTCTAACATCTGAGTGGCTTTAAGGAAATGGATTAACTTGGTGGTACCAGATGAAATATGTCATTTCCTTTCCTCAAATGCACTGAATGTTTAGGCAAGGCAGCCTTTTTCTGGAATGAGCCACTGTCTGAGGACAGAAGGCTGGTGCTGACATCACCTTGGTGCCATGGATTAAGTCTGAGAGGCTGGTTGGTTTAGGCAACCACCTTCTTAAATTACACACATGTCAAGAGCTGGGACCCAAGGGGGGACACTTGCCACTATAAGCCACACTGACAAAAAACAGCAAAGGTGTTTTAGGTCATGGTTCAGGGAGAGAGACAGATGTCACCCAAGGGTGGGAACTACAGATGCAGAGTATGGAGACCCATTCTGGGATTCTCAGATGGGACAGAGTCAAAATCGCAGGACAAGAGGGTGACTGTACCTGATGAGGAATGTAAGTAGAAAGAATTCTGTTCTTTCATTTTTTTTTAATTTGTTACTTTTTTTTTAAGATTTATTTATTTATTTATACAAGCACTGGGTACAGTCAGAAGCGAGGGAGGGTGAGAGAATTCACCAGAGCCAGAGGGGAGAGCAGAACAGGCAGACTGACAAAATACACTGCTGTGGGGAGCAGCGGGCGGCAGGAGAGGTCTGCGCGCCATGTGGGTCCCTCGCCCGGCGATCGAACCGGTGCTGCGGAGGCTGCCGGCAGCTTCGCTACCCAGTGCTCAACTGCTGCGCCACCAGGGGAGGCCCTATTCTTTCATATTTACTTCTAGTAAATTCTAAAATAGTAAGGCGGATTGTCCTTCCTATGGCTTTTCGATTTAGAAATCCTTCATCTTCTGGGGTGGGGGTAGAGTTAGAAAATTTGTAAGTGTTTTCCTCCTGACGCTTCTCTACGCAAAGGCTGCACAAATATTCAGTCCAACCCACTCTTCCCTGCCACGTGCAGTCTCGCCACCCTTTTATTTACCAGAGAGGGGCAAGTGCTTTACAGCCTTGCTCAGAGATGGCAACTGTGTTGGCCCCACAGGACTCAAACTGAGAGTCTCCCAAACTCTGTCACCGACACCCCTTCCTGCAGGGGGTGAGGTTGGGCTCACTTTCTCGGTAGGATTCTTGCCCACTCCTGCCGACCTTAGAAAACCAAATGTCCCGGTCGAACAAGGATATGTGTAGGGTGCACATTTCTCATTGTCAGCCTGCCGTGGAATTACATAATCACCCCTTTGATGAGGATTTATGTTTCTAAAAGAAAGCCTCATTGCCCAAAGCACATGGAATATGCTTTTGATGCCACAAGTAATGGTTTTGATCAGGTGCTGTTGTTAGATTCCAAAAGTGTAAGACAAGGTCCTAGCCCCTCCTGACTGCAGAAGGTCAAAGGGTTCCTGTCATTTACTTTTTCCTTTCTCTCCCTCATTCCCTCATCAGGGATCTACTGTTGAAGACCTACTAAGGATCAGTGGATAGACTACAAGGAGAGATTGTTTCCAATTTGGCATCAAAAGGTATGGAGGAAATGCAGTCCTTTGCATTCTTTGCTCAAAGAATTGGAAGGAATTGAAGGACTAGTCAAGAATTGTGGTTTTGATTTTTGGGATAGGCACCAAGCCAATGAACTACCGTAATGCTGGGTGGAGTTAGGTGACTACCCAAAGGTTTTCCTTTCTCCCATTCATATGGAAAAGCCTTGGATAAAACTCACTAGAAATAAGTCGGATACTATTTCTAGTTCTGAAGTCATTCTGAACAGTATCTTCAGCCTGGATATCAGCCTCAGTGATAATCAGGTGATTAGGCAGGAAAACAAATCAGCTAAGTAATGCTTATGTCATTCATAAGAGACCAAAGAGAATTTCGAGAGACACTGTTGAGGTAGGTGTTCCGTGCATAGTGTTGGAAGCCAGTAATGAAGGTAGATTGTAGAGAGTTACCTAATTGAATATTTAAACGTGTCCTTACTTGACTGTGCAATCACACAGACAAATGTATTCAGGGGGTGGTTTCCGATAGAAGGAGAAAAAAGTAAAGGAAATGCTCAAAGATGACATTAGCTCAATTTTATGTTTGAAAACTTAATTGCACCCAAGTGAGAAAATACAAAATTAAGGTTCTCACTATAACAATTGAGCCCTCCGGTGTCTAGTTAGAAGGAGAGATTGTGCAGTGCATGTTGGAACTTAGTATGATGTGCTGAGACTTAGACCCAGGGGCTGCCTGCAAATGTATGGCTGCCCCTCTCCGAGAGCTTGAAGGAAAGCTTTCTTTAGAGATGCTGCAAAAAGCCTACTCTCCAGAGTTACACGGAGCGTGCTTCTGAGATGGCACCAGCTGGAGGGCGGCGGCAAGGACTCACCATTTATTGAGTGCCCCATGACTCACTGGGCACTTGTACAGATTTTATGTAAAAGTGATTTTGTCTTCGTTTTACGCCTACACCTTGTCTATCAAGATCCTTCAGAAATTGAGACACAGTCTGGAGCGCGTGGAAGTGAAACCTCAGGTCCTGTGGTCCTGCCGCCAATCTTGCTGGGTTATCAGTGTCTGTGAGTGATGAAAGAAGCCACAGACAGTGGTGCGTGCTGACCCTCAGCTCTCTTCGGCGCTTGTGGATGGTGAGCTGTTTCTTTCCCTTGTAGACTTCTGGAGCCTGGGGATGTCTGAAATGGCTTCTCCACAGCCCAAACAATCCAGAAGAGCTCAGATTCCTCCCTCCCTTCTACGGGATCGTCTCCCAAGTCCCCTGTTCCGCTGCAGCTATGGGAACAATGCTGGGAACTATTACTGTCCTCGTGAAATTCCTATGAGAATCCTGGAAAGGGGGTTGGGCTCAGTGAAACAGCCTGGGTGACCTCTCACTAGAACTCCTCTGTGGAGACTTAATCCCCTCCTGCACTTCCCTGTTCAGGCAATAAAGGAAACAAACTGCCGGCGCCACTCCTGCCCCAACACGCTCACAGATCTGTTCCTTCATTTGTTCAACGAGCTCTGCTGAAGTCTACCACAGCGTGGGGCCAGTCTCTTTGGGACATTCGGAGATGATTAAGATGTGGTGCATATCCTGTAGTTTGTGAGGTGACATGTACAAAAATCACAGCATCAGCTAGAAGGGCAGGAGTGCTACAGGAGAACCCCAAGTACTGTGGGGTTCAGACTTCAGAAGAAGCTCCAGGGAGGGCCATGGAGCTGGCCGTGAGCGGCAGGGCATGGTGTCCTGGCATGCTAACCACAGCAGTGGTGCCACTGACAGGATGGTAGAGCATAGAGAGGAGAAACGGGGATTTGGGGAGGTGGGTGATGAGATAGCAGGTAGGGGTGCAGGGGAAATGTGAAGACAACAGCACTGGTTCTGGACATGCTGAATTTGCAGTTCCAGTTGGACATCCCAGTGGAGTTTTCCAGCTGGCAAAGAAAGCAGTCTTCAGAAAATTTAAAGTTGGGGTCACCTGTGAGCACAGGGGCCTGATGAGGTGCTGGTTGTTGCCTGCAACCTGGAGTTAAGTGCTGTGGCGAGCAATTGAAACCTGAAGCAGTGGAGACTAACGTCTTCATTGCTTGCAGGCAGGACAAATACCAGCACACAGGGGGAAATTCAGCTTTTTGGGAAAACTCAGAAACATGGGGAGATCCTTGGCTAGATTAGCACCATCAGCCTCCTCTTCAGTGAGTGGATAATGTTGGGGGCATTTGGGAACCATGTTCCCCATGACTGAAAAGTGATTTGTCCCTTTAAATTAAAAACAGAGAAAGCAAGCTGCACTTCCTTCCTGTTCCAGAACCCTCGGAGGCTGACGTCATGAGCACCCCTTTCTTCCTCTTGCCATCCGGTGGGCCCGTCTTCTGCCCATGATGTAGACACACGTCCTAGCCCGCCTGTGATTTGTCCACGGCTGTACTATTATAGGCGTTATTGATCGCACAATCCATTAGGGCGCCATTCGCCATAAATAATTGATCTCTTCAGGCATGAGCTCGTCTCTGCCACAGATGCCATCAGCAAGAATCCCCTTCTGGAGGCTCATGCTGGGGGTTGGGGGGAGCAGCTGCATTGCAAATGGAGTTTAGACACACAAGGCCCGGGGAGAAATAAAAATAATGACGAGCAAACCTCCTGCCAGGAGACTACATTCTACTGGGGAAGGCCTGTCAAAAAGAGAACATATCTGAGGGTGTTCAGGCTGGCGCTGCTCCCGCAGGAAGCATGCTACCTGACAGACAGACACAGCCCAGCCTCCAGGTTGAGTGGGTTTGTTTAGGCAGCGTATCAATATTTGGGGAAGACACTGGATGTTGTCATTGCCAGAGTGGCTGTGGGAGGGGTAGGCACCGGCAGCAAAAGACACGGGAGGCGCGTCTCAGAGCTGGGAGACCTTAAAAAACTCTGGCGGTCAAAGAGGAAAGCGTGCGTAATTAAAACCACAGAGTTTCTAGCAAAAATAAACGAGTGCAAGAGCATCCCGTGCGGACTGAGTCTGACTTGCTCAAGGACCTACGATGGGAACAGAGTGCTGGCATCTCAGGCTGTAAGCTGGGGGCAGAGGAGGAGCCGGGAGCCAGGGGAGCAGCAGAGCTGGTGCAGGCGACGAGGCTAGGGCCGATGCTGCCGTCACGAGCTCGTGAGTCATGGGTGCTGCCGACAGAGTTCAGCGGGGGCAGAGACGCCCTGGTGTAAAGCCAGAGAATAACAGGTAGGATGATGGAAGAGGCTGCTGGGTTATGCTCTTCCCCTTAGCCATCCCACGACACGACAGTCAGGGGCCTTCTGGAGGATGGAGAAGCCCTGAGAAAATTCTTCACCTCTTCTCTCCTTTGAATCCTTTCTTGAGCTTCCCAGGAATTCCCTGCTACTGTAGGTTTGGCAGAACAACTTAATCATCAGGCTTAATTATAATATGTTTCTATAGATATAACCTTCTGAATAAGTCAGGGTTGGGACAAGCAACAGCCCACGCCAAGAAGTTCACTACAGGGAATGAATAGGGGAACTAGCGACAAAAAGCCTGGAAGAGCTGGAGAGCGAGCTGAAGATGGTGAGGCAGAGATTAGTAACAGCCAGAGTTGGGGGGTGCCAAGAGAGAAGGGCCTGAACTATCCAGAAGACACTGGAGGCATGGCAGAGGTGCCCGGTGGGAGCAGGGACCGCAGAGGAAACATCAACAAGTCAAGAGATACCCAAGAGGTAGAAGAAAGAAGAGAGATGGAAATACCCCAACTTCATCCCTTTCCTTGCCCTCTGATCGCCTGCTAGGGCCTCCCTTCATCCTCATCACACTGGAAGCCAGCTGGAAGGACCCCTAGGAAATGGGCTTGTACATCTGTGGGTATCAGCAGGGAAAGGTGGGGAAAAGATCATATTCCTTCCTACAGTCCTTGCAGATGGCTCTCAAGGGAAAGCAATGCCTGTCTCTAGAAAATGGTGGAACTGGGCATCAAATGAGGTGATATTTGAGGGAAGATCTTCTCAGTGACTCTGCAATTAACACTATTCAGTCTATGGCCATTTCTATGGTTGTAGGCAGGGAACTGTCCAGGTCTCTCTTGAGGAGTCTGGGATTGCTTCTGCCACGACTGCTCTGAGGTTAGCTCTTCAGAAGAATCAGCCAGGCCTGCCTGATTCAGAACCCAAAGGCTGCAGACTCTGCGGAAGCACAGAAGAGCAGAAACTGACCCCAATCTATGGTTTCTGCTCCTCTGACTCAATCCCAGAGGTAATGTCTTGTGGCCCAGAAGTGGCTGCAGTCACCCTTCCCTCACAGAGGTCCTCTGTGGTTGCTTCTTGGCACCCCTTGTTCCTTGGGGACCTCACATATCAGAGGAGTATTCTTGACTTGAGTCTCTAAGGCCTGATTTAAGTAACATTAAATCACACACAAGTGTTCCCAAGGGCACTCATGCCAAAGCATTCCAAAGCCTGATAGACAGCCCTGGATCTCCCAGAAATTCTGTCCCCAAGGGCACACAACTTAGTAACCTTTAGGGGTTGCATGCCTTTATATTAGGTAGTTTAAAATGATTTCAAATGACAGTTATGGCTCAGGATAATAAGAGGACAAGAGACTCTGCTTTTGTTTTATCCCAAGAAATTAATATTGCTGTATATCGTGTTGATTTAATATAGTTCACTTAATACAGATTGATCAGCCAGAGGGCAGATAGCCTAATAGAGACATGATCCAGACCAAAGTCAGTGGAGAGAGGAAGATGGCAGGTATTTGCAGGTGGCAGGGGCTGCTGCCCGCCAGGACCACAGAGCCTGTGCATTTCTTTAGGAGGGTGGGATATGATCACTGCACCACCCATCAGTTTGGTGCGCTGGCTGCAATTTGCTGCTTCTTAAACAGAGCTTGACAAAATAACGCTTGTTGTTAAGCCAGGCTGCTAATTGTGCTGATAATTAAAAATTGGCAGGAATGAGTTTAGCCCATGTTCCCTCCTTCAAACCTTCCAAATCTGCGTTTGCCTTTCCCATGAGCAAAACACCTGCTCTGTTTCCCCCACTCATTTTCTAGGACTTTCAAGTGCCAGCTAATATTTTCAGGAACCTGGGAGGATTCCTATTATTTCATTCAAAAAGATGGTGTGGGCATGGCAGAGCCACAGGAGGTGACCTCTGAGAATGCTGGGAGGCACCCTGGCTGTGACCATGAGGCTCCGGGATGTCAGTTCCTGCAGGGTGAGGCCCACGTGGCCGTCTGCAGCTCCAGGCTGGTCTGTGCGCATGCACTCAACAGCATCTCCACTCAGAGTTGATGCGTCATCCTCCTATATATATCCAGTTGCTGTTTCAGTAGCTCTGAGAAGTGTCTGGAGAAAAACAAAGCTGCTTCCCCTGCTACGCAAGCTGTCTGAGTTCCAAAGAAAGGCTCTTCTGTCTCAATTTGTGCGCAGGCGCGAGCCTCCCTCCACAGCTCCCAGAGTGCCTGGGGTGCTGTGAAGAGCCTCCCCCTTCTGGAGACAGCTCAGAGCTCAGACTCAAGAGCATGCAGCTTTGCTCCTCTAGTCATGCTTCAACCCCTCCCCAGCTGGTCTGGCTAGGAGGGGCATGTATCAGTAGACTCCGTAGCTGGGTGGGGTAGAGGAGTTTGCCAGCCTCTGGGGCAGGACTCAAGAGCGCCAGAAGCATCAGGAAGGAAGGATAACCTGGAAAGGTATCAGGGATGTTAGTGCTCAAAGGGTCATTAGTGGCTTCTTCCCAAGTCCGTTGTTTTCCAGGTGAGGAAACAGACCAAACAGATGAGAAGTCAGAGGACAGTGCTCATCCCGAGGCCCAGTGCTTCCAAATCCCAGCCGAGCAGCTTTCTTTGACCTGGAACCATCAGTTGGAACCTTGCTTCCCAGCTGGCCATTGTCCAGGAAATGCCTTTAGAAATGAGGCTGAGGACCATCCACAGACCCTGCTGAAGTGTGACTAGTAAGGTCCCTCAGACTCTAGTTTTTGCCAAGGGTCATCTTCGACAACATCCCTGTCACCACTGTGCTTGAACCACTGTCATCCTGCTGTGTGTGTTCCAGCCACTTGCTGGCCTCTTGCAATCATCACTTGTACCATGTGGACAAGCTTGGCTCCAGGACAACTCATTCTAGAGAGAGCCAAATAGGTAGATGCAAATGAATATGGGTTTCTTTGCATTCCTCACATCTATCCCCTCCTGCTGGCTTATCCAAGAGAAAGATAAATCCATTCCAAGATCCCTCATTAAAGCTGTTCTTGATGTGGGCAAGACAGTCACTCAGAAGTGCCCCCTGCCAATTCGTTGCAAATGTCCCTTCTGCTTTCCCAGTGCCCCTGGCCCCCATCCACAGTCATGGTAGCACCTCAAATTTCTCTCTTCCAATATTCCAAGATCTTCAGCCCGGGTGGCCTCTCCTGTCACTCCCGTCTTTTCTCTCTTGCTCTCCTCCTAGGCTCCTGGGTGTCTTCTTCCTTCTTCAGGTGGCTCCATGCCTCTTTCTACATAGAACCAGTCACTTCTCTTTGTTTTCTCTCAATTCTTTCTATCCATTTTCTTGACCTGCACACCAATGGCACTGGTGCCGAGCAACTGAGACATTCATCCTTGAAATGTGGGAGAGGAATGGTTAGATATTCTTACACATTGATATTTTGTCAATTGAAAAGTCAAGTCAAATTGATCTTCAGTTAGTGGTACTGGGGGGGTTGCCCTGTTACTGAATTCCCAGAGTGAGGCAGAGTTAATGAGAGGGTCCCTTATTTCAGATGGGCTGTGGCTGCCTCTCAGACCCAGGAAACTACTGCTCCTTGACAGCCATGTTCTTAGGATGCCCTGGTGGGTGCACTCCCAGCTGCCCAACTGCTGCTGACTGGATTCCTGGCTTGCTGTTCACAAGGTTGCGGTCAAATTTTCAATAAATCCCAAAGAACCACAGGCGCCTCAGGATACCTCAGTCCATGTGATGAGATCTATGTTGCCCTTTGCCTCATTGCCAAAGAAGCAATGGGTACCCTCAGAGCAGAGCACACAGTTTCTGGCATTCATGGGAATCTTCCAGCATTTGAGGGAATCTTCTAGCACTTTCATACTTCTGAAAGCATTGGGGATAATTACATTCCTCTCTCAGCCCTCCACGTGGTCCTTTGTTGTCATTTGATTTTACTGAAATGCTGTTGTTTTACGACAATTTTCAGTTTCAGGTGAACAGCACTGGAGCTGGACATCTGTACAGGCTACACTATGATCCCCACCCACTGTGCGATTGACCCCCTTTACCAGCCTTACCCTCCCCTGCTGCCCTCTCATCATCTCTACTCTACTATCAGAACCTAAGAGGTTGTTTTTATTTTGTTTGTTTGTTTGATTTCTTCATCTTCTAGATATGAGTGAAAATGTATGGTATTTGCCTTTCCTTTTACTGTACTTCACTGAGCATAACCTCCTGAAAGCCCATCCTTGCTGTAGTGACTAGCAAGACTCCACCCGTCCATTCATTGTGCATGCAGGCCACATCTGCATCCACTTACTCGGCAGCGGGCATTAGGTTGTTCCCACAACTTGCCTAATGCAAGGAGTGCTGCATTGACCACAGGGGTACTTGTAGCTCTTCAAAAAGTGTCGGCGACAATGTGGAGAACAGGGAGACCTCCTGCACTCTTGGTGGGGACAGACACTGGTGCGGCAACTATGGAACAGAGTGTGGCATTTTCTTAAAAAATTAAGCATAGAAATACACGTGAGCCAGCTATTTCACGTCTGGGTATCTACCCAAACAACAGGAAAACACCAACTAGAAAGAAAGACATATGCACCCCAAGCAGGGCTCTGTCTACTTGGTGAAGCTGGAAGCATGACAACATCCCTCTTGTCCTTTTTTTTGGGGCCTCCTTGTCTAAAGGTGCGTGTGCTCTGCTAATCTCCTGCCTTAAAAATGGCAATCATGAGAGGGTTAGACTGACCTGCTGTGAGGCCAGAAGCCCTAGCTCTCACTTTGTTCAAGTGGTGGGACATCGCAGATGCAGCTATTTGATAGATAGATAGATAGATAGATAGATAGATAGATAGATAGATAGATAGATAGATAGACAGACAGACAGACTTTCTGCTGAGTCAGCCCTTCCTCGATGAGATGATGGCCACAGGAAGCCGTACTCTCCAAACCTGTCTTTATCATGAATAAAACATACTTTTAAAAACTTCATTTGTCTGATTTCTGCAACTGTTTCTCAGTGGCACTTGTGAAACCATATCTGCATTCATTTAATTAAACCACCAACTCTGTAAATACCCCTAGGGAAGAAGCGTGTTAATGCATACCCTCAATAATGAGAGAATCTATCATGCAATTTACATTTCCCACCCATCCATCATGAGCCAGTCTGCAGCCAAGAGAAAGGAAACGGTGGGGCCATCCTAGGTGGTGTCCTAGGGTGAGGGTGGAGACCTGAAGCCCCACCATCCAAAATACATTGGATTTTTATCTCAGTGAAATCTCTTCCTTTTAGCAAGCCTGGGTATGTTGGTGAGGGGATGGCTAAGGGGCAGGGCTTGAGTTCATCCTTTCTCTAAGACCTTTTCTCATAAGAATTTGGACGGGTGACTTAAATTCCTTTTTCCTTAGATTACTTATCTGGGAAATCAGGACAACGTCTTTTGTCATTTGGGGGAATAAAATCAGACAATTATGTGAAGACAATGCCTGGAATGCCGTAGGACCTCAAGACATGTTCGTGATTATTACTAGTAGTAATAAAATGTGTTTCTGTCGCCAAAGATATCCCGTGAGGATGCCTCTTTGGAATGTGTCAATGGGAAAATGTGCTTGGCTTTTAAAACAATTTCATTTTGCAGATACTTTAGGAGGAACACTTAATTGAAGGGAGAAATGGCTACACAGCTTTCTAACAAATATGACTTGGGATTTATTTGTTAAAAAAAAATAGAAATAACTATTTTTGTGCCACCCACCCACGCCATCTCAAGGAACATTTCTTAGTTGCTGTTACCCCAAGACACATGTCAGACCTAAGACCTAGTGACAACTGTCTCCGGAAAGTCTTGACGTGGGGCCCTAAGTCGGGGCATTCTAATTTTGAAATGAGCTATGTGGTTCAAAAGCTCCACGCTTCCCAACAAGTAGATGATTGATAAGACTTTCTTGTTCACTGATCAAGCTTGATAGAAAGGAAAAACAGGAACTAAAAATATCCTTTGTATTTGAACCAGGGGCACCAGAAGAAAAAGGACACCCAGATTTTCATATGTGATTACATAATTATATATTTAATTGGTAGTTTACAGTAAAATCATCCTTAAATTTAGGGAGCTTTGTTCTGATCTCAGATACTTGCAGTTGTCACTAAAACAGCAGAATGTCTCTTGGCTGATTTTCTTCTTCTTTTTTTAATCCAAGGCACTGTTCACTCTGCCATTGAGGAATTTTGCAACCTATAGAACCACCAAGGATGAAATTCATATGAAGGTCACATTGGCCTTCACGTGAATTTTCTGTAAAAATGAGATGACATTTTACATGCTAACTCAGGAAAAGTGACATAATAAATGAGGTCATTTAGCTTCTATTCCTGTCGTCCTGTTGGAATGTCCAGGTGCGAGGTCCTTTGAGTACCTCTTCTGACTCGGGGCGCCATCTTTTCACATCATTCAAGGCATTTGTCACAAATTGCTGCCTTTCTACTTGAACAAATAAATGAACAGTAACTCATCTGAAGTCTATCTTGTGAGCAAAAAGTCATCAAACTTTTTTAACTTAGCATATGAGCTAGTGCGGAGAGTAATAAGGACATTCATCTCTTTTATTGCAAATCTTCCATGTACACCTAAGAGATAAGCATCTCAGATCCCAGAGGCTAAGCTAGTATCCCACCAGAGGTAGCCATTAGTTTCAGGACTCTTGCCAACTTGTAAGGAAAAGTCAGGCAGTAAGTGATCATTTCATGAAAGAACTGGATCCCATTCTTTATGTTCTTTGGGGGATTCCAGAGCTTCCCATGAGTGAGAACTCAGCTGCAAATCAGAACAAGGTATCCCAGGTTGATTCTCTTGTGTATGAATTTCAAGGAGACAAGGAAGCAAGAGCAGCAGGTGTAGAAACTGGCAGAGAAGCTAGCCAGGTGCTCGGCTGACACGGAGTCAGGGGCAATGAGAAGTTGGTCTCAGAGTGCAGGGAGATGACCAGGGCCTCGTGGGCCACTGGGTCCGGCCTGAACAGCTGCGAGTGCCCCCCAGGCCCGCAGGCTGCTGGCTGCCGAGATGGTTTCCTGTCATTTTGTATTTTGTCTTTCTTATACTAACCCCCTACCACCAAGTGGGCCTGAGAACCTTGAATCCAAGAGAATCAAACACTGGCTCCCACTTCCTATGATGACTCTGAGGTCTGGGTACATTTCAGTATCTCATAAAATGGTAGGAGTCCCATGTAAACCGCCTGGCTCTTGGACCCCAACAAGTCTCCTGAAAAGAATGTTCTCTCTTTTCAGTAAGTGAAACACCAAAAATGCAAATCTCTACTCTCCTCCTGGATTACAGTGGGCGTTCCTTTCCTGGTGGGACTTTTCTGGTTTGGGGAGGGGGTTGCAAATGGGGGAGCTGACCTTTGAATAAGAGTACAAAGGAGTCTGCTGGTTGTCGTTTCAATATTTCCAAAGAGCATGACGGGCAAGTCCTAACCTCCTTAGTGGCTCTTCAGGTTCTGACCATGTTCCCTGACCTCATCCTCACTTGGGATAGGTGGAACCTCATCCCCTTTTTGTACTGTCGTGACTGCTGGAGGTCACACAACAGCAGGTGGTAGAACTGGGAATCATACTCAGCTTTCACTTGGAGCCGCAGCTCCTAACCACATTGTGGCAAACAGATCCAACTCTCCAACACCTTCCCCCCAGTCTCTGCAGGACACTTCTGTTCCCATGAGGTCGTGGATTGGCAGATCCAAGTAGCAGGCCCCATCCAGCCACTCTGAAAAGCCCCAGGGCCTTCCCAGGGCACCTCCAGCAGCACCACATGGGTGGAGTCAGAGCATACTCTGCTCTGCGGATAAACCCCGAGGGATAAACTTCCTCTCTCAGCTCGCCTTGGAATACTCTAACCCAGATTTTTCAAAGTCTCTCTAGTCCCTGGTTCTTGCTTCAATTTCCAAGAGATTCCTGGCTTCGGGCCTTCTCTCCCCCAGGAGAGAGAACAGGGCTATATGATTTTATTAGATTAGAGAATTAGGCACAAAACAGCAACTTTAAGATCCCAGGTGGCCGTGGCCTTTTGTAGTGGTGAAACACTTCTCAAATTAAGCCAAGGAGCCCTACCAGCAGGTCCCTAACTGCGGTGCCCACAGGGCTGACCTGGGACAGAACTCTGGAAACAAAGAACAATGCGTCTCCCACCCCAACCCCTACACACACCCTGATCCCAGTCACTTGAGGTCTCCTAGGAAGAAACACCAGTGAACACACCCACATCTCTGCTCTGGGGGTGTCAGATGCTCGCAGTGGTCCTCCAGCATGGGCCTAAGGGGACACAACTGGGTGGAAATGCCCAGCAATTCTCCCAAGTGTTCACATGGGAGGCTTCATTCAGATGCTAATGTGTGTTTCAAGGGACCCCTCTTACAACCTGGGCAGGAGGCCAGGTCAGAAGAAGGACAGTTTCCCAAGTCAGTAACCTTTACCCAAAAAGGAAATCCAGAGATTTTTTTTTTCTCTCCTAGCCACAGATTCACAAACACACATATTCGGCCGTTGTTTGTAATGCAAATAACAGTAATCATTTCAGCTGATGTAGAAAGCTGTATGTTTTCACAGAAACATGTTGGCTTCCCATGCACCTTTGTAAGCACACACCCCCTGCGTAGAAGAGTCAAACTGTGTCTTTGTTTTGACTTCCTGGTTGAAAGACAGCAGAGCCCACAGAAGGAGAGAGAACAGGGGTTCTCAGGGAAGGCGGGACCCACAGGAAGTTGGCCTGGGGAAGGGTTTTCAGAATCACCTGGGGATTCATTCTAAATCCCTTGCTCCCTGCTGCCTCCACCCCCCCCCAATACCCCCCACACACACCAAGGAGGAATCAGTACAATTGAGGGTACACTGAACCCCTCACATAGTTGGAGTGGAAAACATCCCGGAGTCACTAGACTCCAAAGCATTTTCCACAAAGCAGAAATTCTCACTAGCTCCCTGGAAATGGAGCCCTCGAGTAGCAGGCGTGATTCTCTGTCTGCAAATTAAGGTGTGCAAGCAATATTAAATCTCAATTTTCTAGAAATAAATTTGACGTTGAGCCCCGATCTCTCCAGCCTTATGAGAAAATACAATCTCTGTCATTCCTGGGGCCTGCTCTCCTGCCCTCAAGGTCACCTCTGGTGTCCAGCATATTCTGCCGTGTGCAGGTGTCAGTGGGTGGACAACGCAGGGATGTGCCGTCTGTCCCAAGGTGTCCACTAAGACTTCATCTCTGGTGTGAAGGGCTCTCAAACAAGAGGCAGTTTGCTGTTTTCAAGGCACACCTAACACGGGAGGGTCTCTTATAATGGGGCTGCGGGGCCTGTGGCTGCAGAGAGCATGCCGCTCTCGCTCCAGGGGTTCTTGTGATCTCTGTCCTGCTCCATTCAGAGGTCCTGGGGCAGGAATCTTTTTTCTGGTCTAGGAAGGCTCATTTTCTTCTGCTGTCCTCGTGCAAACCTCTATCTGCTTCTTTCTTGGCAAACCTAAGTCCTAGTATGAGCTCAAGGACCTAGAAAACAAGCCCTGAAAATCTGGGGAGTGCCTTCTCCTTTCTGTCTTCTCAAACACCTCCCCAGAGGCTGTCAAGCCCCAAACGTGATAAGAGAAAGCTATATAAAGGGGAAAATATATAAATGAGTGACCCAGAATATTAGTCCTTCACATTCACATGCCCTTCCAACTCTTCACTGGCGAATCCCATTTATAATTTTCAAATATACCTAGAAAGATATTTGGGGACTGCTGTTCCACAGCTTTCAAAATCAAGATAAATACTGATGAAATTTCAATTTTAAAACATAAATAATGGTTCTGGTTAAAGCTCAGAGATTTAAGTACGGGGAAGGCATTATTCCTACCCCTACAATATTAATAATAATTAAAAAACTGGATAAACTTCAAATTAGCACTTTTTAAAAAGCTATCAAAGAACTGACATTGCAGGCAAACAGCTACCTGAAAACCAAGAGAAAGGCAAAGGCCTGCAGGAGAACTAGGGTGCATTTGCTCTCCTGACGCAGATGCTGCCATAAAAGCTGGTAAGAAGATGAAACTATAAAAGTTTAAATAATAGCTAAAGGCTCAGTGAGGGCTAGCAAGAGAGTGTTAAGTCCCAGGGAGCAGCACACATAGCAGGGGTCACAGTCTCGTGCAGCTTTTCCCTCCAGGAATGCCAGGTGCTCAGGGAAGAAGGGGAGAAGCCCAAGAGAGTGTCTGCGCAGGTGTCAGGTGGCCGTGAGCAGCGGCCACTCCCAGTGCCATGCCGATCCTTCTTTCCTCTGCTCCCCAATAGTCTTCACCTCCAGAGGGAAGGCGATCAAAACTGAACCCCGAGAGCACTGGTGGAAACTGCGAGGGGGTGTGGGGGTGTGGGGGAGTGGGGGTGGGGGCAAAGAAGCAGCGGCCCCACTGCAGGAGGGGCGGGATATCTGCAGGCCCAACAAGACGGTTGGAGAAAGGGCAGGAGCACTGGAGATGCAGCTGCCAGTCTCTGTAAGGCTGAGGCTTCACGAGAACACAAGAGGTGAACCAGGCCCTTTCCGCCATCATGCTGACAGCGCAGTGGAATACAGTTGGGAGAGTTACAGGATTCAGGCTCTTCCTGGGGTCCCCAATGGGGCTCAAATGAAGACCCAAAACCACGAGGAGAGACAAAAAACAGAGTCACTGGAAAAATCGGAAGCCTCTGGAGCACTGAGGGTAACCATAGCAACAGCAAACTCCCAGTCCAACTCCTAACTAGATTAATACAAACGCCTACATTAAAGGCCCTGGAGAAGGAAAAGCATACTCATCTCTGGGCATGAAAGATATTTACTTAGCATCTCTTGTCCTGTATACCACAGTCACCTCTCAACAGAAAAATTACATGACATACAAGAAAGGTAAGAAAAAAACACAGTCTCGAAAGACAAAGCAATGCTGAGAACAAGATTCAGTCATATGCCAGATTTATCTGACAGGGAATTAAAAATTACTATGATTAATATGTTAAATGACCCAGTGGAAAAAGTAGACAAGATGTAAAATCAGATAGGTCATCTCAGTAGAGAGAAACAGTAAGAGAATCAAATGAAAATGATAGAAATCAAAAACTCAGTAACAGACATGAAGAATATCCTTGACAGGCTCATCAACAGACTGACATAGTCAAGGTAAGGATCCAGGAATTTTATATAGTCAATAAAGTTCACCCCAACTGAAACACAAGGAGCAAAAAGGGTAAGGAGAAAACAGGACAAAGCGTCCAGAGTGGCGCCAAGATCAGTTTAACACATGCATAATTTAGAATCTCTGGTAAATGCCCAAATCTTCTGAAATTAAGCAACACGTGTCTAAATAATCCATGGGTCAAAGAGTAAGGCTCCAGGGAAATTATTTTGAACTAAATGAAAATAGAAAGACAAAACATCAAAATTTGTAGGATGCAGTCAACCATCTTCAGATAGAAATTGGTAG